GAGTTTTTTTGTTAGTCAAAAGCACATTCAATGCATCAACAATGCACCTCATTTTAAGACCAATACGCCCATGGGTGTTCGTATGAGAGTGCATTTTCTATTCAAACAATGTGGCCTCCGGACAAGAAAATAATGAGTGGATCAGTGTGAAACTTGCTTTCAAGCTTGGTACTAGGACCAAGGTTTTTAATGTTGAGTAGCTAACTCTGAAAACTCAAGTATTCCCGAGTGAAGTGAAATGATGAAAAGCTAATCACACCTAGATGGGCACACGGAGAGCACGACTGCTAACGACCTGTCACGACACAAACACTCCTCGATCCACCCATTTATCCTGATTAACTGCATCATGTAATGTATTCTTCCTTGAGTCATGCACAACCCCTCCAGCACATTTCAGGCTAAGGTAATAATATAATGGTAGAATATCAGCTTAGAAGTCATAGAATTATGAGTTTGACGCTGTTTGATGGGCAACGACGACTGTGCCTCTCTCTCTGTACTGACTATCGGAGCAGGGCCAAAGTGTCATCAGTTGCCTGTTTCTGCTGACTGTAAAAGACTCCCGCAGTCAGCAATCTGTCATGTTAGCAACTACCCATCATGCTCTTCTCCTCTCACACTCTGAGAAACTGTGTGGAATGATAGTGAAGCCCACGGCGTTCTGCACCTCCATTTTTGCTTAGACAAATGGTGTGACGTGTTGTCGTTGCTGTATAAGGCTTGATATGGCTTGACTGTCCCTTACAGTGCAACATGAACCCACCTGAGCGCAGAGATATGACACATGGCAGAGCTTTGAGAGGAGCCTCTTTATAAATCTCTAAATCTTCTTTGCTGTGTTATGACCCAGCTTGTTGGGGAAAGAGAAGCAACATAAAACCTGCTTTGTCTGTTTGCTCATATAAATTATATTTATTCACGAGCAGTCAGTCTCTCTCCTGCCTGTCAAACCTCTTCTGTCTTTAAGCAGCCATCTCAGATCAATCAGGCTTTTGTGCATCGTGCATGAGGTCATCAGTGCGTGTGTGTCTGTGTAGAACGTGTGTCGTCAGAGGGACAGTTCTTTAGCGTGTTCGCTGCCTTCTGGCTCCATGTTAAACCCCTGCATTGCAGCACTGCCAGTGGGATTTCAGCAGGCACGGCCCTTTTTTTTCCTCTAACCCTCCATCCTCACAATAGAGAGATTAAATTTGGGCCAGATTCCTCCTGCGTGGAAAGCTCCTCGCTCACACATGCACATCTTCCAGTGTTCATACGCCACACTCCGGAGACCATAGGGCAGCTGAGAGCTCCCAAAAGTCTCCTGTAGGCTCCTTCTGCCCCACACAAATCCTCCACCCTCCCCCCTGTCTGAGTGGGAGCAACAGTCGTGTAGAGCCACGTGTCTTGGAGACAGACACAGACAGAGAACGAGAGAGGGGAAGAGAGAAAGAGAAAACATGGAATCCTCTGGGGTTCGCCAATTCAACTGCTGTCTGAGAGGCTGCGCAGTAATCTTGTTAAAGAACGAAACGACTAGTTTGGTGCTGTGTGACTTTTGTGTGTACCACACGGTGCTCTTCATCAAACAGAGATCGTTTGGGGAGTAAGAAGCAACATAAATCAGAGAATAATCTTTCTCTCGGACAGCAGTGTGATTTTCTTCTGAAACAGTTCGGAACATAAGAGGAAAGCTTCACTTCAAGTCTCTCGTTGGATCAATGAGACAAACTCCATCAAGGAAAGAGTCAATAAAAACAGAGAGATGAAAAAGAGCCTCAGAATTATTCTTTTCACTTAAAATGCTGGAAAACCTGTTCGATGGATTAAGTAATGTAGCTGATGCTTGCAACAGGCCCAACAATAACTGAGCCTTCACGTGTACATGTTACATCAAGGCTGGACGTGTGTGACACATAGTGCTGCCGGGATTTTCTTGCTCTAGGACACACACAAAAGTAAAGTAAGGTCACCAGAGCATTGTCTGTCATGGCCGATTCAGTAGCAAGGGTATTGTGAGACATGGTGAGACATGGTGAGACATGCTAATGTGCTGTGCTAGCTGTAGAATGAATAAAACAGTTTACCTCAATAATCAACCTCTCCTCCATTTTGATGTTGAGGCAGGACCTGCACCCATTCCGCTCTCTTGGCATATTTGCTCAAACATGATTTGATTGGGTGGTTGTTGCTCTGCCACTGCCTCCAACACATTTAGGGTTCAGGCCTGTGGAGCTGATTACGTGTTGGTGTTTTTATAGGAATGTTGTAGTGTAACTAAAACCTTATTACCCCAATACGCAGAGGAAGTTACGTTTATGTAAGTTCGTTAGCAGGATTATGTAAAAGCTGCTGGACGTATAAGCATAACAATTGGTGAAAGGATGAGGTTTGGGTTAGGAAATATCCCAATACATGTTTGTGCAGATCTGGATCAGGGGGCTGAATTTTTCTGACAATAATTCATGGATCTCAAAGAAAAAAAATCAGATGTAAGTGTGTGATTTTTGTTGCCGATCCAAATAAAAAAACAGGATTTAATGAAAGTCCGTGTTGTTTCCTAAGAGGACGGTTTGCCGTGGCAGCAGAATGTGCTCCTCTGAGTGAACTTCTTGTTTAATCCTGCGTTTACTGTGAAAATATTCGTAATGTGAGAAGAATTCTTTCACCTGCAGTAACACCCTCAACCTGACCTCAGGTGATTCCAGCTTATCAGTGTTCATTTTGATTCGACTCCACCGGTTCACCGATGCCGACTTGTCATGGAAATCAAAGAACAGAGTCTTCATTAAATCCTCTTTCATTTTTCCTTTGCACTGTTTGGTCCCTTGAGGACATAAATAGGTGTGAAAGAAAGATCCAATTATGTTCACCAAGAGGCGATTCCCTTCAACGTGATTGTATCTGAGAATCTGCAAATCAGGGCCCGTCGCCACTGTCAGTAAGCCAATTTGTGATCTTTGAAGATTTTTTTTGGGGGGGGGAATTTGACCTTGTATCTGTCCTCATGGAATAACATTTATTTCTGCTTTGAGATTATGTTATTATGTGAGCAGACACGACCTTTCACGTTAAGGTTTGAGGTCACGCATCAGGGTGATTGAGTGTGTATGTTTTCAGTCCTTGTCGTTTGACCTTTTCTCTCTGAAACATAGAAAATGCCACGTACATTGTTGGAGTGCTGCATCGTGAAGCAGTGCTGAAGCTTTTCTCCTCCCCGTCACTGCGACCCCTCAGCTCGCTGCAAACAACTCACTTTGACAGTTTCATAGTGTCTCTATGAGGACTGCAGGTATTTCACTGTGCAGGAACCCACAGAATTCCTCAGTCTATTCTCTTCTGTGAACCGTGAAATTATTCTGTGGTGTGGTGCTGAGATTTTTCCTCTGCCATCTTGTTGTCTAGAAATGATAGAAACATAGACGATTTCGGAAAGTGCTTTAACGATGTGTGTTTTAGCATAAATGTTATGGTGCCAGCGGGCTGGATGGATCCTGGGGTGTTACTGTTTTAAAAAGCTATAGAAATGGAAAATCAACTCTTTGACTATGTTCAGAGAAAAAGAAATCCATGTATAAAACAGAAGAAAGTCTGTTCTGGTGATGGCAGCTTTAAATTGTGAGAATTGTTTTCCTTCACTGAAGTGCAGAAATTGAAGTTGGTTATCTCTCCCTGTGGATGTCGCTCATGATACAATTACAATAAAGCAATTAAGTCCAGTGAGTCATGAAATTGATTGTTTTGCCAAAATAGGAGAAAGAAATTAGGCCACAAATAGAATATTCTCAAAGGTCCGACGGAGAACATGGATTGAATTTGACTGATCGTTGAAGTTCTTTAATTCACTCATCAGCAGATTGTTCCTGGAAATGTGCCAACTTAAGAAGTGACTGAGATCTGATGGCTGTAGCTTAAAGAACCTGTTGACATTTAGGGAAACACACTTATTTGCTTTCTTGTTGAGTGTTGGATGAGAAGACTCTAAATATAAATCCACTTACCTTATCTTGACACAAAGATTAGAAGCACAGGGAATTGATCCTAGCTCTGCCCAGAAGTAACAAAAAAGAAAACCCAGTGTAAGTGCATCAGGGGTCGATGCCCGAAATGAATATATATCTCTGCTGTGTTGTTCATCCGCATCAGGAGATTTTACCGACTTTCTTACTTGTACACATCTGAGCAATTGCTCAGCCGCCCCGTAGTTCTGAATAGTTCTTTATTGTGGAGATTTAGTTGTTCTGAAATTCTGAGTTGCTGTTATTCTTTAATTTTTTTCCATTGATGAAAACTTCTCTCTCATTTTTGTCAACAAACCACCTCAATAAACTCAAGTTGTAAAAGGCTCATAAACTCGTCTTCAGAACTCAAAGCTCACTTGACTCTGTTTTTTTACGCGGCGGTTTAAAAAAATCTGTCTCAGGTATTGAATGTTGATTCACACCTATTTTCCCAAGCGACACTCATGAGGGTGCCACTGAGGTAGTGACAATGATTAATTCAATAACTGGTGAGGCCATCCTGTGCACTGGATAGCCGCCAGCGATAATTCATTCATCCTGCAGCTTTGCGGATCAAAGCAGTTGGCTTCAGGCATATATCAGCTTGTTTATGTGAGGGAGACAGCTATCAATATTCCTCCCTGTGGCTCAAAATGATTTTCACTGTAACACAGATTTGTTTCGTCCAAAGTTTCCTTTTGTTTTTATCCGTGTTTAATAGTTTAAATTCAGGAATGCTAATCACACTAGATGTTGGTGGAGTTTGATTTAAAGCCGTGGATTATCTTGAAATGAAACGCGCACACCAGTTTAATAACTTTCAAACCCTGTTAACATGATCTAAACAGAGTGAGCTTCAGTAAAAGTATGAAATCAGTTTTAAATTGATCAATTTTCTATCTTGGTTTTTAATTGAAACAGTGATGATGATACACATCTCCAAGAGACGAGATGCAGACGAGTGAACGAGTGAAAAGGCCTCTCTGAGTTCACATTATGTCTCTTTCTCTCCTTCAGGATTCCAGACTGACAACATCTCACTGTGATTGCCTCCAGCCACTTTTCAAGCTTCGAGAGTTTGGCTGTAAGTATGTTTTTGAGGCTCTGAGCTGAAACTGTGAACTTAAAGGCTGCGATACAGAGAGGGGGGGGGGGGAATCTTCACTCAGAGCGGTCCAGCGTCATCGCAGCGACCTTCCTTTTTAGAAGGAGACAGATCACTGCACAATGTTACATGCCTCCGTTCTCTGCTGCTTCCCTCTCAGAAATATCACCCATTCCTCGTCGTTTCAGGAATCCAGCTCGCCTCTGTTCCCTCACTGTCCACTGAAGGCACGGCACAGATGGCAGACTGTCCATGGCTGGATGCTTTCTCAGACCGTCCCATAATCTTTCTGATGAGCTGCAGGCGGAAGCACTCAATTGACCTGAAAGGAGAAGCTGATATGTTAATTCTTAAAGATTTGATTCGTTATTTATTGCAGAACACGTGATAAAATGAAATCCGTGCAGCAGTACAGTAGAAGTAAATAGATCTGGGCATTTATGTAATCACATGTTTTGGACTCCACTAGATGTCAACATGAAACATAGTGTGCTGGGTTTTCCCCGCTCCCCCCATCTGTTCTTAGAAAAGCTTTGCATGTGCCAGGGAGGAGGTAGCCCACTGCAGTGTGTAGTGAAGGCGTGGTGAAGATGAAGGTGCAGCCCACTGTGAGCAAGCATGATTTACTGTACGATCGGCTCTTTGTGCACCAGTCTCCTGCCCACCCCTGCACACTCCAGCACTCAGCTGATTAATCAGAGTCATTTCCATGAGTGATGGAAGCTTCAGTACCTCAGGGGGGGGGGGGGGGGTACAGAAAGCTAATAAACCCCAGCGGACAACAGCCACGCCTGGAAGGACGGTTACTGGCTGCTGCTTTTTGTACCGGCTCTGTTCAAACGGCCATCTGCCATTATTCAGCCCTCACTGCCCTGTGTCAGCCTCACTGTTATTAACATTGATCAGCTCGATTCATACTGAATGAAAATTCATACCCCAGGGACGAGTGGTGCACAATTAGGCTTTTGAATATGCAGCACTGTCGGAGGTTGAAGCTTTTACTAAATGTAGAGTGATTCATATCTACTATACGCTTATATAGAAAAAAGCAGCAGAATAAAGGTACATTCAGGCCCAAGGATGTTCTAATTGGACCATTTTAAATCATTAACAGATTTTTAGGTTTGAGAAACTTGCTGTAAACTGGCTTACTATTGTTATTATTACTTCATATGGGAAAAATGTCAGCCAACTATTATGTATATGTATTTTTGTCCACCCGACCCAATATTCACTCTCCTTCCAGCTCGGTCCTGATCTCTTCACGTCTATGTTCACTACCTGACTGCTAACATCGCTTATCCACTGTCCAAAGTACAGTGGGATTTTATTTTTTAGAACTTTATTTTCAAATGTTGGACATTCGTGCTTAAAAGATAACTGATGGGATTAATCGCCAATCACATAAATTCTCAAATCAATAAATTTGCTTAAAATTGGCCTTCCTTTTAAACTAAAATGATTTATTTTACATTTGCTTCTTGTGATGCAAACTTTTTATTGAATTTAGGCTCAAAATCTGCCAGTGAGTCTAAATTGGAATTTTCACTGGCCATATCTTTTCAATCTTCAGTTGCAGCAACACAATTTGAAGCAGAATGCAGCCGTTCGGAGTCAAATGATGGAAACACGGTCGCAGCAGAGAGGTTTTCCTCACACTCCGACATAAAAATGAGACAACAGACACAAAGTCTTGCACTGCTGCACACCCTCACATCTGCAGCAGCACGTTCTTGGGAAGATATAGACCCAGATCTAATCCCACGGCACTGAAGCTGTTTTATGTTTGTGCACATGTCCTGTATCTTTATTCTGTTTGTGTGTATGTTTTCTGTGCTGCAGTGTATTTTTTTCTTCATCATCCTTTCTGTGTTCCTATTTATCCTCTTTTACTGCTGAGGTTCTGTTGAACATCACTACTGTTTCAGAAGTCGTCGCTGTTAAAGGCTGCTGTGTCACTTTAATCATTGCACAGAGAAAAACATGGTGGCGTATGTGATTTTTGCAGAAAAGGGAATGCATTCTAATGGCTTCCTGTAGTCATTGACTGAACGGTTTTAATACGTGGCTGTAAGCTCCACGCAGTTAGTCTCCACGACACACCCGCCTTATTAAATATGTATTCTAAGATGCTCTGAATCTCTCCAGAGACTTGGCCTGTTTAGTTCAAAGTGAGGTCTGATGGAGTTTATTCTTTCCTTACTTCTTACTTTACGCTGATGATTACTTGATGAAGAGTGTGTTTGTGTGTGTGCCGTGGCAGCAACAGTCAGCAGTGCAGAGCCACATCCAGAGCATTCACGCCGCGGCTCACCTCTCCTGGGACGGGCGCCAGTGTTGCTCAACATGAGTTTACCCAGCATGCTATGAATCTTGGTTGGATCAATATCCTGTTCCCATCCAGGCAGTGAATCAGTTCCTGCCTGGGTTTCAGGGCACTGGGCTGTAAGATATCTCTTACAATGTGGAACAGGGTGCACACGGGAACACAGGGTGGACTATCTCCCATAGATTCAATAGCGAGGCCTAAATGTCATAACACGTCGATGAAGAGGGAATTGAAAAACATGTGGTGTATGTGGCTTAAACTGCAGTGGAGGGCTGCCATTTTATTTTCACCCTACACAAAACAATATGGAGGCAGCTGCAGGGAGCAGCTTTGATGATGTTAAAGGTGAAGCTCTGTATTTTTTCTTAATGTCAACGAATCCTGTGAAAAGACCGAAACCAACAATGAATTTATCCTGATAAAAACCAAAGCCTTTGCTGAGCTTGTTCCTCTGTGTCACGCATCAGTGAGGTGTTCTCACTGAGCACCGGTGCACTTTCTGTACCATGTTCTTCTTTGGAGCGAACATGGATACTGCACTTTATTCAGATATACATTTTACAGCACCACACACACTGTCCTGCAGCTGCAAAAACTTAGCCTCCACCGAGTCCAACAAAATTTCCTCCTACTGAATAATACGTCTTATAAACTACAACTCACAGTTTTTATTACATTACTTTGCCGTTTTAAATCCCCCACAAGGAGTTTTTAACTGGTTATGAAACACTTTCATTTTATTATTGTTGCCTATGACCTACAACAACAAATTATACAATCAGGGAGAGCGTTGGCTTTTTCTATGAACTACTCTCAATGTCTGATCAGATCGGATTCCCTGCAAAGTCAGACCCCAATGATTTACGTTAGTCAGGCCGGAAAAAGCCTATATGTTTACATTTCCGCTGGCATGGGGTTCAGTTTCAACATCTTTAATCCCCTGGAGATCCTACGTACCACAGAGACCACCACCATGACCATCCCAAACAACACCGGCAGTTGGGGGAAGCGAGACGGACACTCGGCTAAAGGCTAACCCGTACAGAGCAGAGCTCCAGAGTCTGTTCCTCGCCAAGTCCAGGACTCTTACAAACAAAATGGATGAGATCAGAATGAGAATTACAACTCAATGTGTGACTATCTTCACAGAGAAACTGTCAGAGAGGAGGTCCACAGCCTCAAACTATGAAAACACTGTGTTTTGTGAGATGGACTAACAGTGATTTGTTCCATTAAGAGAAAATACTGAATAACACCCTGCCTCCGCACCTCATTTAACTGCCCTGCAAACGCTGGGTGAAGATAAGAATAGTTGTAAATTGCCGAGCTTGTGTCATTTCTCTTTATGTGAGCGCTGCTGCCCCTCCCCTTGATTATGGGATCCCTTCTAATTCAAAAGCAGCATCCACATGACTCTCTGGACCTTATGCTGAGAAATGTTTTTTGGGCAAAGACGGGGGAACAAATTAAATTCCTCCCTTCGCTTGTATGTTTAGAAATCACAAAAAGCCACCCCCCTCTCTTTCTTCCTCTCCCCCCTGTTTCCTCTCTCTCCATCTCCCCTTCTCACTCCCCATCTTTACTGATTGAGACTTTATTGATTTCTGGTTCAAGTGCTCATTGCTGGCCAATAAGGAGAGTGATTCACTTAGGGGGACGATGATAATTCTCTGTGACGTGCAGTGATACCTGCAGGGCTCCAAACTGTCTGCTTCAGCGTTGGTGTAAAACGAAAGAGTGTGTCACCTAATGTCATTAAACAGGCAGATTTACGGAGCAATATGCAGTAAGGGGGAAAACAGCAGTGTGAGCCAAAGGGGTCTTAGGGCATTGCCGACCATTTTGGAGTATTTAGTATGATTTTTATATTTTAAGTGTTTTTGATTATTTTAGTCAAAGGATTATCCACGATACCCTTTTTAGTAAAGGGATAGTTCACCCAAAAATGAAAATTCACTCATTATCTACTCATCACTATGCTATGAAGGGTGGGTGAAGTGTTTGAATGTCGGGGGTTTACAGACACTTGGATGACACCAAAGGAGCAGTATGTTGGCATTTTCTGTTTAGTTTTTTTTTGTTTGATCACCATTTACTTCAATTTCATTTTCATCCTCGGGTGAGCTATCCCTTTAAGCTTTAGAAGATCACATGCAGCAGTGTGTAAAGCCCTCTACACATACGTGCACCTTATGCTATGCAAATATTTGCGTCATTCTTCCGAGTATTTAAATCTTCCTTGATGACAGTGGCAGTGATGCAAATGCAAACACCTAATTCAGATAAATGGATGGAGAGAAAGAGAGTCAGGCTCCATGCTGCAGTAAGCACACATGCTTCTTCTTGTGCTCATCCTATTATCTCAAGGTCTCATCTACAATGTGTCATTTTTTTTTTCTTCTTCTTTTCACTTATTTACATCCACTCTGCAGCCTTGTGAGCTGAGGAACACATCCGAGCTGTGCGGAGTCCCCGGGCGGCAGCACTGCGAGAGGGAGGGTATGGGTGCCGGTCGCACACTAGAGCATATGGATGCTTTTTGGTTGCCCCCATGTGTGTTTGACTGGGACACAGATTGCTGCATACGGCACCTTGTGAGCAGCATCGCAAATCAGCTGGGCCGAGCTGCGAGTGCCGGAGTGCAGGATGG